GTTCGTTTTATGACCATGACCGAAGAAAAAAGTTATTTCCATAATTTGAAAATTTTAAATCGGTTGTAAATGAATTAGATTGAATTTTTTGGTCACTACCTTGCGTATTTGCATAAAAAAAACAAAAACATAAGTAACCACAAGGAAACTGAAGGAAACAAAATCCAATTTTAAAATTTATGTATTATAATTTCCATAGTACACCTGCTTTTATTAAAGCTTTCATTCATTCAACATTATTAAAAATATAAATGCAATCAATTTAGTTGCAAAAAAAAACGAGATCCGCCCATGTAAATGAACAACATCCTTATTCTAAAAATATCCTCAACGCTCGGCCGTGTTAGCTCCAAACCAACGGCGTGCACTTTTAGCAAAATGTGCAAGAAGAAGCGGACCCATGGGACGACAGAAATAAAAAGAATGCACTCGTCTAGCCACTTAAAATAACCCTCTGATGCAAATGCCGCGATCCATTTTTCCAATTGTGTCACACCGAAAAACATTTGTGACCCAGAATGTTGAAACATCTTGAAGAATTAAAAAAACTGTGTCTCTGGCAGCATAAAAATTTTGAAAATCGCTAATGGAGGGGATGTTTTGTCTGAAAATTTCCTTTATTTCAATCAAACAAATTGTTTTGCAATAATTTATTAAAAACATGCAATGCGGACAAATAAGCAGCAATATAATAATTTTGGTGTCGCATTATTTGGAACTTCACAAGAAGTCCAACTTTTCCTTTTTTTTTTTGTAACCAAATGTTGCAGTTCTTTTTTGTTTTCTGGCTCTTCAGAAGCAAAATTTTAATACGGATTAAATAATCGATTTGAGCAATGCAAGGAATTCCGGACAGAATTAGAAATTGCGTTCCGTGTCCAAGTCCGGGTCGCCTAACCTTTCGTCGATCAAACTTCCTGGCTATTCAACTCGCACTGACTCATACAAGGTGCAGAAAACTAAATTGCTTATCGACTGGGAATTACTTTTACTCACCATAAATGTCAAATTACGTGAATGACGGTTGTTTACGTTCTACGAATTTAAAGAGCTTTTTACTACGTTTCTAGGGACCAGAGTTTCCTGCAGTGCGGCTGATTTGTTTAAATAAAATTATTCTGCTTTTGTAAAAAGTTACGCGTATTGGTGATCCAACCAAATTATAATAACCAAAAGGCAATCTGACGTAAAGTTAGATCATACGAGCATTCCGAATTTTTTAAATAATTGTCAATAATAAATAAAAAAAAACAACGTTTTGAAGAAAAGTAGCAAGAAATTTAAATTTATTTGTCTAGGTTAAATTTGGACAAATAAACAACAATAATAAAAAATGCTTGAAGAAACATTCATATTTTACTAATAATAAGTTAAATAGTTGAAAATTATCTTTTCATAGTAAAATTTGAAATTGTCTAAAGTTTTTTTATTTCAATCTATTCCCGGGACAAATGATATTTTTTAAACAAATTGCTCAAAAAATTGCAATGCAATATAAAAAAATTGTATCATTGATATTTAATGTTGCGCTTTATTTATGAAGGACAATTGAATTATAAAATTGCTCAGGCTCTCTAATAAATTTTACTGAATTTTACATTCAGATAATAATAAAGTTAAATAATGAATCATTAAATCATAAATTTTTAATGAAAATTCAAATTTATTAAGAAAGATTGTGATAATTCCGATTATGATAATCTTTCTTAATTATCTTATTAAACTTATAATCTTATTAAACTTCCTAGAAATTAATGAGCATCTATCCTTGAAATCGAAAATTGGAAAGCTCGTGTAAATTTTGAAGAAGCTGCAACAGGTCCAAATTATGCACCCGATCAACTCGCTGCTGCTGTTGCAACCCGGATCGAGGGGCCTCTCCTGTGGCAAGGATTGTCGAGCGATACAGCTCATGACATGACACTTTCCCTTGGCACAATTCAGGTCAAACGCCCTGCGGAGCCAGCAGCACCCAGAGTGCTCGCCAGCGTTCAATTCCGATCGATCGACTTACCTGGCTGCGTGCGACTGTTGAGAAAAATCTCACCGCAATCGCGCTCAACCACTGTCGACTGCAATTTGCGTTGCTTGCCTAAATTTAAATTCGGGTCATAGAGAGGAAATTTTATTTTAAATTATTTTTTATGTCTCCGCAATTAATTAAAACCACTTATCGGGTTATTTTCAAATCAACCTTGCTTTGCAGAAAACATTCTCTTTCAGAATTTGATTCTTACATTTATTCTCTCACGTTTATTTTAGTCATGAAATCGATGGACCAAAAAAACAAAAACAATGATCGCTCTCGCTTTTGCATTCCCTAGTTTAACCTTTTGCGAAAAGCGCCGCGTAATCTCGGCCCATCGACAGCTACGACATTTGCATTGTGTTGTATAATCGCACCCATTAAAGCAAATTTCGGTGACTCACGACGCGACGAGAGGTCGGCCGATCACACAAAACACTCTCTTCAAGCTGTTGTTTCACACTTGAACCGACTGATTATTTAACACGTTGGAAGTATCAGTCATTTTGGGAAGTGGCCTTGATCCGTCCAAATTAGAAATATCAACAGAGAATCGAACGTCATAAAAATTATCCAGGTAAATAAAGCGATTCTATACAAGGAAAATATGAATAAAAAAATATGGAGAAAATTCCAGAAAATTGTATATGCCATAGATTTTAAATTTAGTTAAAAAGAAACCTGACTATCCTTGGCCGGAAAATCCTTACAATTTGAAATAAATTATATTATCCAATGTACACTCACTCATTTTAAGATATAAAAGAATTAAACAATAAGCTCTTAGCAGGAAGCCCACAAGGAAAAGGCTGTACACTTATTGTTGCCAATGAGCCAATTATTGTGCACGAAACCCTTGCACGACGAAGGAAAAAGCAAAATCCCCCGCGCGGCCGAGACTTTTTTCATGCCGATTTTTTGCGGCCTCGCTTTGGTGTCGAGGCAATCAGATGTGAACGGTCCAGTTACTTACTCACCAGCCAAGGCATTTTATATCTCATCTGCTTTCCGTTCTGTCCGAACGAGGTGGTTGGCAATGAAATTAGAGAAAAAGCAGCAGAGATGCAACAAAGCCAAGCGAGCAGCGAGACCGTCTGCTTTCACAATTCGATTCGGATTGCCAGAGCATGAACACATTCAGCCGCCGGAGAAGTCAATAAACTAATACCAATCTGCTGCACATGCGGACAGACGGTCGGACAAACCTTCAAAAAGATGAGAATTGAGATGAATGCAACCAAGGCTAAACTCAATTTGCTTCACGTCTGAAGGTGACGGCCAAGGGTGTTTGCAAATTTTAAATAATCGAATTTTAATCAATTCAAAAGCAGAAATAGTACATTATTTAAATAAAAAAAAGACGAGAAAATACAACAATTCCTTTTATTGAAACATTAAATTTGTTTATAATTGCTTGAAAATATTTTGGAAATATTTAATCAATAATAATAATTAATTAATTTAGAATTTGAACATGCTAAACAAATATTTTTAATTTGTTAAAATTTAACCTTGCTATATTTTATATAAAAGTCTTGGATGTGTTAAAAAAATACTCCATCCCAAACTTTTTTTAAGGGTCAGGCAACGACAAAGTCTTGGTGGCCTGTGTGCCCTTTATTAGTACCGCAGAAGGCACCACCGAATTCCTTTTTTCATTATTTTTTCAATTTTATTTTATGGGTACAACTTAAGCTTTAAGTTTCAATGCAAAGCACAGGCTTGTTCCACTGGTGTTTAATAATTTTTAACAAAGAACAATGAATTTATGGCTTTAATTTTTGATATGATCTTTATTGCTCAATATAGCAATTCGATAAGCTTATTTGCCAGATAGGAAAACTAGGCGACCAAAAGTTCATATTTATGATTGATTTATTGAGGCCGAAAATGAGGTATTTGTCTCATTACGACTGACATGTAGACAGACAGCGTACATTGCTAATTCAAGTGGCTCATGATACTGTACCGAGTATGAACTGTTTCCATTTGAACCTTATCAGAATATTGCAGTCTGGATATTTTTGCTTAATCTCGAGCGGTCACTCCATTATGTATGTCACTCTCCCACTAATCCAAGCTTTATATCTAGTCGAGGAGTTATGCGAGTTTAGTTTTTATCTCGCCGTGTCAATCAAAACTGTGGGTGCGCGTGCGATAGAAATCTTCCACGAGCTGATCGCAAGGAATTTTAATCTTTTAATATGCGAGATGTATTATAACACTTCATCCTTCTTAACTCCAGTTTCTCCAATTTAGCGATTTTGCCAACCAATTAGAGAAAAGAATTTTCTTCGTGACCGATAGCAACATCCTTGGAAGTTTGTGAAAAGAAATCAGCAGAAATCGATATGACTACGTGGCTGGTATCAATTTTCACCCGCGAAGATCAAGTTGGATTTCAATGCCAAGCACGCAAATTAGTGCGACCTGCCTAGTCTTGAACTTTCTTTATTTCTTGCCTCGGAGAAAGTTTTTTTATTGTCCACCCGAGAAGTAGCGGAGTCGGTCAGTGAGCCCCGACCATTCATTGCGCCGTCGGAGATGAATTTCAAGTGCAAGTTCAAGCCTGCTTACTCTTTTTAATTAATTTCTAGCAGAGCTAATAGGCGATGGAAAGAGAGTGCAAGCGCGGTTCCTACTCGCGAGCGACTCGAATGTGGGTCAATGATGCGATGTGGCGAGACCTTGGAGCGCTCGCCGCTCGTTTCGGCTTTTTTTGCGAACTATGCCCGCTCGATTATATATTAAATGGTACAGGTTGAAGACCTGCCTGCGTTTTAGAGTTGGAGGTTATATTATGCTAGTGAGCGTAAGGCCGTCAACTTTTTTTTTATTCATTTACAACTGTACAAGAGCCTCTCAATAGCGAAACGAAAAGAGAAGTGATTATATTTTAGAGGTTTTTCCGGAATGCACAAGATCGTTCACAAGAGAAAGAAAGGTTAGCAGGAAGTAAAAATGGCAGAGGTCGTTCTTTTTATTAGTTTTTATTCGTTTTATTGAGTTTTTTTTCTCTAAAATAATAATTTATCTACAAACTATGGCGTGGGAGAATGCAAATCCGCACAAAGAGACACAAATACAAATGTGTTTCGCTTGTTTTACACAAAAAAAAGCAGCTTTCAATTATAATTGTGACTCACACACAAGATTTTCTCGTTGGTGCAGCTGCGCGTACAATTTACACATTAAAATCATGATGTAATTTTGTCTCAAGATCAAAAATAGAAACATGCTGGATCGGGCATGCCAAATCATCTTTCACTTATTACACACTTTTGTCCACGAAATGTTTTAAATATAGGAATTGATCATTTCATGTTTGTAATAAAATCACAGTGTTTATAGTCGAGCGTGGCGCTCGCTCGTTCGCTCTCTCACATTCAAACGCTTCATCTCTGTCTCTCACGCACCGGACACATTCAGACGTTCGTGCATTCAGATCAGTCTTAGTTTCAATGGGCGAGCACTGCGGAGGGACAGACGGGCGTCGAGACGGAGCGAGCCCTCGCCGCCTGCTGCATCAGCCGCTGCCTGAAGCCCTTGGTGCCGTCGGGGCCGCGGGGCAGACGCAACACGTTTTCGGGCAGGGTTCGCAGCACGTTGGGGGTGGTGTTGGAGCGGGGGCGGGCCGTGAGAGGGCTGGCCGGCTGCGGGTAGTAGCAGGCGCTTTGGCGACGCGGCACGTACGGCTCGGCGTTGACGAACTGGTACAGCGGCGACATCTGGATGTTCTGCAGGCGCAGCGGGCTGGCCAGCGGCGACGAGCGGCACGACGAGACGCTGGACGCGGTCGAGCTGCGACGGCGCGACGTGTCGAACTCTGCGTCGGACGCGCACGCCGACTCGTAGCCGGCCGACGGCGGACGCTGCTGCTTGGGCTTGGCGCTGCGCTTCTTGCGCTCCTTCTGCTGCTGCTGCTGAGGGGGCGCGGACGACACCACCGAGTTGTTCTGCGTGAGGGCGAGCACCCGCATGGCGGCCCACTGCGTGAGCGGCGCGGCCTGGGCGCAGGCGGGACGCCGGTCGAGGGCGCACCGGGCGCCGTCGGCGTCCTCGAACTCGACCAGGGCGCACACGGCCGTGGCCAGCTCGGGCAGGGCGGCCACGAAGGGCCGCACGTCGGCCGGGACGGGGTTGCCGGGACGGAGGATGCGCACGAGGGCGAGCTTGCCGCAGGGCGCGAACAGGTCGACGACGCTCTCGATGGTCGGCTTCTCGAGGGGCAGTTCGAGGGCGACGACGGTGCGCGAGGGCGCCGTGTCGTCGTAGCGGGGCAGGGGCGCGATGCGGCGCAGTTTGGTTTGGGCTTCGTTTACCTGCAGAAGGCGCGAGCCGGTGGCGAGCGCGTGGGCCACCACCCGCCAGTCCTTGGCCAGGTGCTTGACCCTCTTGAAGCTCGAGATGAGTTTCAGCGAGACGTAGCCCTCCTTGTTGCGTTTCACGTGCTTGAGCAGGAACGCGTCCTTGGTGATGTTGACGTCGGAGAAGTAAAACTCGACCTGCTGCACGATCCTGGCGGCGAGCTGCTCGTCCGGCGCGACGAAGGTGTCCTCGTCGGCGGGCGCCTCGCACCCTGAGTCCTTGCAACCCTCCGAGTCGGACGCCGAGCTGAGTTCGGACGCGGCGACGCCGAGCAGTTGGGTCGACGGTGGCGGCGACGCGGCGCCGCCGTCGTCGTCGTACGACAGCGAGACGTCGCTGTCGGTCGAGGAGATGCTGTCCCGCGTGTCCGAGCGCAGCTTGAACACGTCCTCGAGCTGCAGAGTGGGCTGCTGCTGCAGCACGATCACGTCACCACTTGGAACGGGCATGATTATTCGGTCAAAATGCGGCCTAGACGTTCGCTGCACACGCGGAGTCAAAACCACAAAGAGCACTAACGGGCGCCGCGCGGCGAGTGCAGACTGCTGCTCTCTGCTGCTGGTGGAAGTGCGAGGTGTTCCACTGCTGGTGGTCTCGAGAGTTGTTGCATCGCCCGCCGCCCGCCGTGCCTTTTATATCTTGCGCTCTCCCACTCTGGCGCGCCGGCCGCGCCGACTGCAGATGGACCGCCCCGCGCCCTCTCGCACCCAGGGTGGATCGCCGCCGCCGAGTGACGTAAACACCCACGCCGGCCAAATTAGATTATTTATTAGCGCGATTGAAACTGAGACGCACACCAAAGTAAAAAAAAAAAAAAATGCGAACAAAACACCCTGACTGTCCTTTTAATTTATTTTAATCACGCCACCGCGATGTGCGAAAATTTTAGCCTATTTTTGCGTGTTTGTTTGGGTCGGCCCGCCTCGGATACGTGTAAAAGCAAAACAAACCACGCGCTCGTGTGCTCTGTTGGCTCCCTAAAATTAGCAACAAAGCCACGTTTGCGTTCCTCGGGTCCACATCAGCAAACGCAGACGATGCTGACGTTAGATCGCTAGTTGTCAGCCAATTAAATCAACTTGTGTTAGTTAAACAAATACAAATTAAAACCAGAAAAAAGAAATAAATTGGAATAAATTACAGATGAAAAAAATATATTCTAAAAGTAAATTAAAAATATTAGTAAGAGATTAAATAATTGATTTAATTTTTTAATTTTTCGACGTTGAATTTAATTTATTGTTATTTGATTTTATATTTCTTTAAAAACCCTATCTCGCCGATAAAGAGTGATTATCAGACTGTTTGCACCTATTTAATTGCGTTACAAATGACTAATTCTATAAGTACTAGTACACGAGTTATTCTCTCTTTATTCACAAAGTTGTGCCAAATCATGATACGGAAATGATTTCTTAAGGATTTTGAAAGAAAATCCAATTCTCTCAGCGTTAAGATTTCGACCTTGCTGGAAATCTCTTTGAAGTCAACAGGTTGTGTGTCCCAATTATATTGCGCTTCTTTATATATTGACTCAATTAGCCAAGATAAAGACCCTCTAAAGGCCGGCCGCTGCATTTCAAAATGCATTCTAGGCGGCTTGTTAGATGCGGTCCGACCAAAAAATACGCCTGCAAGGTCGAGAAATATTGATATTATTACTGCGTTTCGGTAAACAAATTGCGCTTTTTCTGCGTCTCAAAATTTGCTTCCGTCTGACATAACGACGTTGGCGATGAGGTGAAAAATTTCCTTATATGGTCGCGCAGTGCGAGCTGCATAAGCTGCGGTGACCGCAATTAAGGGATGCCTTCAAAGGCTTGCAAGCCGTGCAAGTGCTCGCCTCACTCCACTTTGTCTTCTTGCGACAGGGGTTGAAAAAATTACACGTCATCTTCTTACCGCCGAGTGAATAACATAGTGTGGGGCGATTATGAATTGCTCTGGAGGCGGTCGGTGACGCCGAAAGCCCTTTTTATCCAATTTGTGCCATTGACTGGGAATATTAAAATGGAGTGAAACCAAAGAGAGCATATGAAATTAACAAGCAATATTGCGACTGATCAGGCAAATTGTGTCATAGCATGAGATTCGATTACATATTATTTGCTTCATCTTCATTTGTTTTTCAAGGGTGGGTGGCTTTTTGATATTCAATATAAAAATAACAAGTAACATTTTTTATATAAGATTTTGCAAATAAGCTCCATTTTACAGGTCATATTAAATTTGTGAAGTAAAGAGAAAAACAATACAAAATGAGATGCGCAATGGTTACACGAGTCATTTTTTCACTGTCCCATCAGAATGATAAAAAATTGGGAAACAGTCATAGGATTTGACGGCCTACTTTTCCACGGAAATTTCTAAAAAATATTTTCCATCCATTCATCAAAAATCTGAATTGAAATTTTCAGGGTGCGTTCGTGACACAATTTTAAAGCAGTATACTTGGCCCAAATTTTTTTCAGTGCAATTTTGAAATTTTCCGATCAATTTGTAAAGTGTCTTATTAAAAAGTTGGAAATCCTAATAGTTTGAGCTCATTAAAACTAAAAACTTCATAAATTAAGAGAATTTTTCTAGTTGCAGCTTATTTTTTAAACTTGTTTTGTTTTAAAAATCTTATATTTCAATTAAAAATAAAACTTGATTTCAATTGTTCCTTTATTAAAATTTTACAAATCATTAATATAATCACCTAAATACTCGTGTGTATTTTTATATATAAAGAATCAATTAAATCCTGGTTGAATATGAAATTATACCTAAATTTTGAGAAAAAAATAATAATTCAAAGTCTTATTATAAATAATAAACAAAAAAATGTTAATTTAAAAATCAAGGACTCTGGGAAAACGTAAATAAATTAATCGATAAACGATAATATAATATTTTAATTAAACTTTGTGGAGTATAAATTTGACCTCTCTGAGCCCGGTTACTTAATTATAAATATTACGGGAGTTGTACAGTTGTATTTGAGTTCCCCTGCTCGGCACACACCCGAAAAGAGCAAGTGTTGGGTGGAGCGCGCAGAGCAGCGAGAGTGGTTTGCCGGAAGGAACCGCGTACAGTACGCGCCGGTCGCTCTTGACCCAGTTGCCGAGGTCGAGCGTCGGTCTGGCCGCCTCTCCGAGAGCCCAGCCGTTTTTCGACCGCCTGTCCTCTCGTGCCGCTTTTAATCTCGTCCTTTTTTTATTCTTTTTCCAATCGCAAAAGTGGCGAAAAGAGTAGAATATCGCGACCTCGCGGCGGGTCCAAATAAGCAGCAGGTTGGCAATGACAATGCCAACCACCTCCTCCGGAGAGGAAGGAAGTCGTCGACGAGATGCGATATATATTTTTCCTCTGTGGCCTCTAAGCAAACCCGATCTGCCTGGACCTTGGACGCTCAGGTTCACGTCTGCGGGTTGATCCTCAGGATGCATCGCGATTATCCTTGCCGACCTCGCGCTCTGCTTAACTTTCCATTGTCTTTTCTGTTATTGCCCCAAGAATAATTCGATTGTTGTTTCTATTTTTATTAATTTTACTCCGCAATCGCAGCACAGCAATAACACCAAATGTTTTTAGTTTTAAAATCAAAATTTTTATTAAAAACTTTTTAAGTAATTTTGTGATTTTGTTCATTTTTTCTTATTGAGTGTATTTATAATTATTATTTAATTTTTTTCCATAGAATCGATGATTTTAGTTGGATTTAAGGTCAGCAATATTATTATTTGTTCCTCAATAGGTCTTTTAAGACCACCGCTGAAGAAAGCTCATGAATTATGGCATGCAGCAAAAGCATGTTGAGCAGATATTGTTTTTTCTCAATAAAAAACCCATCGAGGAAAATCCGACTTTAACTAACTGTTCAAATTATAAAACCAATCAAAAAAACGAAGCGTATTTATCAGTGCGCGAATTTCCTCGCGAATTTTTCTTATGCAATATGGGCCGAGTGTGATAAAGAGCGGCTGACTTTTGCCCTCTTCTACGTCATGGGTGGTGCCTCGAAATTCCTCACAAAATCTTTTTGTTCTTGAACCCAACGAAATGGCCTTAAAAGAAACTGCGCTCAATAATTCTGCTGTAAATAACACAGTTTAATTGAGATATTATCTGAATGGAGCTGAAGGTTGTTTTAAATATATATCATTTAATTTTTTACTTTTTATTGTCATTATTATTATTTTTTTTAGAGAGAAAAATGAATAAAGAAATGAAAAGCTCAGTACTGACTTCTTGTATTGCTTCTTAAATTTGCACTTTCTTTGTTTGCCCTATAACTGTAAGCCTTAACATTTGATCCTTGGGTATTATTTTTATAATTCGCCGACGCGCGTCGCCTTTTATAGCTTCCCCTATGTGAGATTTAAGCCTCTTAACAGTTAATTAAAAGCTCAATTCGTGTTATAAAGATTGCCGAGTATCATATAATATGTTGTTATGGGTCTCTCACAAATTATGATGTAATTTATCGCGCGACTCGTCCGAGCACTTAGCCGGCTTGTGTGATGAGAATCTTAGCTGACGTGAGAGCTTCATTTTGACATAATCGAACACATAATAATTTCCACCTATATTATGCGAAGCGACTCAAATATTCATCCTTGCAAATTGACCGAAAATTAGCCTCGCAATCTGAGGTTGACAACTTGCGCGGGGTCGCGCAGATCTAGATTTTATATTTCTTTCGCCCGCTCTCTTCCTGGAGTATTTCCCTTGATTGTTGTTGTTATTGTTACTGTTATTTAAGCACGATCGTGACACTTCCAACAATTGAAATAAATTGGATAGCGAGCGAGCGCGCGTTGTTTCAAGTTGAAGGTGAGCCAAAAATAAAGCGTAGTTGGCTCTCTCGCTAATTATTGTCACGGTTAACTGAATCGTGAAGGCGCCGATCAATCTCACTTCTAAAGTTGTACTTTGTAGAAAATCTAATTAACTTAAATAGAATTGATTTTGATTCCACCTTCTGGAATTGAAAAGAAAATCAGATATTACATAGTGAACAAAAAGTAGATACTTTGGACGATTTTAATAATATATATAATTTTTATGTCATAAATAAATAGATTAAATTTTCCATATTCATTTCAATTTATTTTAAATTTAATTTGTTTTTTCCTATGTATGATAAGATAAACTAAAAATATTTAAATCTCTAGATTTGAAACAGTAAATAATTGTTTTTTTTTAGTCAATTTTTTTTCTTATTAATGTTCAATGCCACTTGCGAGAATCATTTTAACTGTTTTGAATAACAATTAACCGGCTGCGAATGGAAATTTCGCTTGGGCCGTGCTGTAAGAGCAAGTTCAAATTCATTAGGCGGAAAGTGTTTCCGCGTGATTGCGATAATTCCAGTGCGCGCGTGTGTGTGTTTGTTTCCCGCGAGCAAAGGAAGAAATCAGGCAGGTGGCGAAGGTTGTTGTGTTTGCAGCACAACTCTTTCAGGTAAGGTCAAGACTGACTCGGTGCGATCCTCGCGATTTATTTATTTCTAGCCGCGCTAGTTCGTTGACTGTCACGAGGCACTCGCTTTTTGCACAAACTAGTTGCGCGAATCTCTCTCTTGAGCTCAACAAGTCTCTCTCTCGGTATTCCAGTGTGCATTTGCCCTCG